AAATGAATATAATGTTTACCAATTATGAGTTTGAGTGAATTTTAAAATCTGATGATGGCGCTGTTGTCTCGCCGAAACGTAACCAAATAAACGATGTACAAAAATACAAAATCAGCATAAACAACACGTTCGCCCATATGGTGAAACAAACTGTCGATTTGATGCCCGGGCCAAGTTTGGGACACCCCAGTATATCCAGCTGAAGTAAGTCATCAATACCTTTTCCTAGCAGTGTTGCCAGACGGTGGTAAACTTCCCTAGACCCTTGACCATGTGCAACAACGCAACCTTTGGTGTGAGAACAGAAATGAGCAACGGCCGTACAAAATCAAATAGGAAAAACTAACAACAAACCCAAAAGCATTATCCTGACAAAACATTTATTATTAATAAAGAGTCGATCGATTGGGTCATAATAATAATAATAATAAAGTAAATAATGTGCGTAATTAAAATCGATCGATAGAGCTGCAACAGTACAACAGGTGATGGATTGAAATTAATGCCGGTGTTGGTTAGAGACAGTATTAATATGGCTAGAGATGAGCACAACAATCGATTCCGGCCACATGAATGTCCGACTCTCACCAAACCGAACGGTTAACCTTCGCTAGACAATGAACAAGGCTTTGGTGAGAGTGAGTCAGCGATATCTAATACGGTGACTGGTTAGTTAGATAGAGACAGAGAGGGGGGAGGGGAGAAAAGTTATAGAGAGAAAGAGAGCAAAAATAGTAGTTAGTTAATCAGCCGGCTCGTTCCCGCTTGTGTGAACCCCCTAAGGCTGTGCTTCAGCACACACTTACCCCTTCCACCCAGTCAGGTACCTAGTGTGATTCAACAATTAATCATCCCCACTCATGCACCACCCAAGTTAGCTGCTAAACACATTCGCCACCACAGTCAAATTCAAAAATCTAGCGAAAGCTGAGACATTGCAATCAAAAAGGCTTAATAGTCTAAGAACCTTACTACGTCCCTACGATCGATTTGCATGCGCGGTTGGAAATCGACCGTCAGGCCATCTGCTAGAGTCTAAGTAAACTAAATTATTTAACTCAGTATATAAATTAATTTTGTAACTGTCATTATACCACGATTTGTACAGCAATCCGAATCGGGTCTCTTACAATGCTACGGCTATGGAGATGGGCCCACAAGAAAATATTTCGCGAAAAAAAAAACAGAAAATACATTGACGTTCCAATTATGGGAAGGTTGTCCATTAAAACAGCGAGATTAATGGAGAGCCTTTGTCGGACGAAGCAACCGTGAGCCATCGAGCAGCGTTTCGGGTGCTTCATCCTCGACTTGCTTGGTACCCTTATCCGTTAGTTGGCAAACGACATAAAGCAAACTGTTTGTGATTTTGCTAGTTCGGAGAACAACAGTGAATTATTTAGTTTGTACCGCAAAGCCAACACCTCCTCTAGACAATACCATTCAAAATATAAAAATGTCAAAATCCACCCTTGAACAAGAATTTAATGAATTAGCGACGTTTCCCGGCGCCATTTGCCGCGACCCTTGGGAACCCCGCTTTAATTGTGCGCGCATTGCCCTGAGAATTCGATCGGTTATCAATTTTTCTTAGGTTAGAAACTATCAAAAACTATCAAAAATATCGCCATTTATCGACTTGCGTCTACTACACGCTAGTTGTCATTTTCGTTAAGGCACTAAAGTATTATTTACAAGTAGCAACAATGAGAAACTTAACGTTTGGAATGTACGGAGTGTCCTGTAATATCGGCGCCCGAACTAAGGCTACCTTCACACCGCAACAGAATTGTCGGAGATCTGTCAATTCGTCCGCCGTCGTACGACGTGGACGAATTGACAGATCTCCAACCAATAGAAACACTTTCGTATCATCGTACCATCGTATAAATGGATGCATGGGACACAGGCTTTACGGGAGTTAGCGATAGTGATAGTAAAGAGGCGGGCAGTATTTTTGCAATCATACCGGTACAACCAGGAATTTTTATGGGTTTCCGTTTAATATCCACTCAAATAATTAACCGAAGATGGATTTTATATCCACGCAATTTTTTGAGCAATAGACCACCATATGTATGGTGTAGATGACGTCATTTCGCGCGAACCATTGAGTTGGTATATTGCACACTATTTGATCAATCGAGTTTTTTGCGAAAAAATCTCCCGAAAATGATGAGCAACTGAGTCAGAGGCGGCGATCACGAACGGTGCGCCGCATCTACTGATAAAAGTGGGGATAGAGCGACACCGCGCCCGCAGCCGCAGACGCATTGGCGGCGGGCGAACTGCTTGGCACATAGGCCCTCTTTGCAGAGGCAGTTTGCTCCTGAAAAGCGTCCCCATAGCTGCGCTTCATGGCCACATGTGGCAACAGCGGCATCATGCCAGTCACCTGCGGCGGCTGCGCGGTCTGGAGCAAGTGGGGCGCGTAGGGCGACGCGGACAGTGTCCCCCTGCCGGACATCGAGAGCGGCAACCGAGGCGGGAGCATAACGAACGGATGATGTTGAAACAGATGGGGCATGAGCTGCATTTGAGGCCCCGCAGGGGCGGCTTTGGCGCCGCCGGGCGACAACTGTGACAGCGGCGACTGGGCGCCACTGTACATTGCGAGGTTATGCTGCGCGAGCTGCCCCATCAGGATCATCTCGTTTTGGGCGTGCGCCTGCGATTGGCGCGCCAGCAGACTTTGCTGCGCGATCAGTTGGGCCTGTTGCTGCGCATGAATTAAACCGGGGTCCCAAAGGGGCGACTGTGCCGGGGGAGGGATGTGGGTGGGGGGCAGCGGTAACATACCGGTAGTGAGCAGGGCCGATGTTGACGGCTGCGGCTTAGCTGGTGAAGTGGGGGCAGGCAGACCTGGAAGGGAGGCGTCGATCATTCCCGACACCGCGCATGTCCTCGAACTCTTACCTCCAGTCAGCACCAGGTTCATGTCTTCGCCGCTGCACTGGAACACCTCGATGTAGCGCTGCTTCTTACCGAATATCATGTAACGGTGGTGTTTTTGCTGCGCACTCACGTACGCCGACTGTTCGGTGTCCATCTGGATGAAGGCTTCCCCGCTCGGCTGGCCCTGGACGAAGCACGTTAATTAGTGGAGAAACCGCGATTAGTTTACAATACAATATACATATGTTTCAGTCATTTATTGTCTCTATTTATCAATCAAAATACGTTTCGGTGTATTTTTCCACCATCATCAGTTTTTATGTGTAGCGTTGTTGCTGC